ATCTCCCCAGAACAGTGTTAATTACATGAAAATTTTATGCGCTTCTCCTTTTTATCATGATAAAACTGCTCTGGAATGAATCGATTAATCCCAAATTTACTTATTTGGAAAGGTGTGTGGAGGTCTGACTTTTTCTTTCACTTGGACCACTTACACATCTCATAACGTTTCAACAGAAAATACAGATTCCTTCTTTGCAGGGAGGGAAGTGCTTTTAAGCTCCACAACCATTAGAATCATCAAGTTCACCATTTAGGAAAGCCCAGGATTAATGCCAGATCTGCCCTAAAAAGCCTTCAAAATCCAGATTTCTTCCAGCTCATCTTTGCCCTATTTCTAGGGGTTGCTCATTTCCAATATAGTCCATCACTATTTCCATTTACATCCAGGTAGCAAAAGGAGGAGGGGGCGCAACCATATTGGCAATCTCCTGGCCTCTCCCCCAAGAGTGTTCATCAGCTCCTAAGATTCCCCCTTCTGAGACTCCTCTCCCTTCACACTCACAGTCCCCCCCCCTCACCGTCCCCTTCCCCAGTGGGTTGTCTGGGCATCCCTGGAGCTGCATCACTAGCTTGAGTCTCGGACTCCAGGTCAGTGCTCTGGACCATCGACTCTCACGTTTGGAGCGCATCAGTTTGGGTGCTTTAAGATCCATACCTTTTCCCCTCCACCTAGGCCAAGAATCTCTTTAATATAAATAGTATATTGATATGTACAACTTGACCTCTAACTTCTACCTGGAAGCCCACAACAGAAAGAAAATGGAGCCAGTTTTCTGCCTGTTGGCAGGGGGCAGAAACTCTGCTTCCCCTCTCCCCTACTCTGCCTGCTGGCAAACCTGCTCCTGTCCCCCAACTGTAGGAAGATCCTTTATTCTTGCACACAAGGTCAGCGGAGGTGGCATTTTACGGTCTCTCTCTCTCTCTCTCTCTCTCTCTCTTTTTCTCTCTTTCTCTTTAAGAATAGAGGCTTAATAATTCACTGAAGGTTAGTTCATCTTAATTCTAGGCCAAATCTCCCCAGAACAGTGTTAATTACATGAAAATTTTATGCGCTTCTCCTTTTTATCATGATAAAACTGCTCTGGAATGAATCGATTAATCCCAAATTTACTTATTTGGAAAGGTGTGTGGAGGTCTGACTTTTTCTTTCACTTGGACCACTTACACATCTCATAACGTTTCAACAGAAAATACAGATTCCTTCTTTGCAGGGAGGGAAGTGCTTTTAAGCTCCACAACCATTAGAATCATCAAGTTCACCATTTGGGAAAGGTGTGAGAAGGGTACATAAACTCCCCATAGACCTACAATTGATGTTCCTTTCTACAGTTCTCACCTTCCTGTTTCATACATCGGAGGACAACTTCAATGTCCTGCCCATTACCGGATCTCAGAAAAGAAAAAGAAATCGAGTAAGACTCCCTCCGGTGAAGTCAGTTTGAGTGCTATTTTTAGCATTTTTAGTACCATAATGAGACATTATTTCGTTTCTAAATATTTCTAACGATTTTCTGCTCCTGTGTAAGAAAATGGGGCTGAGTTTGCTGGGAGGGAAAAGAGAAGGGGGAGGGGATGGGGAAGGCATTTTTTGATAAAGGGTTTGTTGCTCACGGGAGGGGAACAGTAGTATTTCTTCGGATTCTCCAGGCCAAATTGTTTTTCTTTTTCTTTCTTTCTTTCTTTTTTTCTTCTTGTTATTTATTTATTTTTAAAATAAGTAGCTGGTTTGGCCGACTTTGTCTCCCAGTATTGAAGGCATTTGCTTCGGACTAGAGTCTTAGCCTTGGGTTTTGTTCAGAGAAAGCGTCCCCCTCCGCCCCGAAGGACTGCCCTGTTTCACAATAAACATGACGAAGGGGCTCAGCACTTTTTAATATAAATAAACAGGCGACTCTAGAAGGGTCTATATTGGGGGAAAGCCCACCTCGTCCTGAGATTTCTCGACATTATTCTTTTGAGTGGATCCTGCCGTCGGGTCGCTGGAACCCTCATTAAAAGCACATATTTTAAATTAAAGGGGCACAAGCGAGCCTCCCCGCGCTCGCATCCTTCCCAGTGGTCTTTCCCCTCTCGCTCCCCCTTCCTGTCCCCCGCTCCCGACCCGGGCCCCCCTGTTCCATGGCGCCCCTGCTCTTGAACTTGCTTCTGGTGGAGTGGAGCTCAAGGGCTCCGGACCCCCCAGGCAGCTCTCCCATAGCCCAGATAAGGACCCAGGCGCATCCGGGCCCTGGCGGGTCCACACCAGCCTGGGAGGCCTCGCACCGGTCTGGGGAAAGGTGGGGGCCACGCCAGAGGCCGGGAGACACTGGAGAGGGCGAGGTTTGGGGAATCTAGATTCGCCACCAGCCCGAGATTCCTTCCACTATGCAGGCGATTTAGAAGACGACAGGGCGGTTGGGAGGAGGGGGGGTCACGAAATATGGGGGTGTCTAGGAAGCCAAGGTCACGGTCCAGCCTCTAGCGGGTCTCTGTCCACGGGCTTTGCGCCTAGCCACGCAGGGTGCTCAGGGCTACCCCAGAACTTGACCTGCCTGGGCTGGAGCGCCATGGTGAGCGCGCCTGTAGGACCCCTGCCTAGCCCCGGAGGCCGAGGTCCCGGGTGCGGACCTGGGCCACGGCCCCTCACCCCAGCGCTGGCTGCACTGCCCCAGCCGCTCCTGGAGTGGGAGACAGTGATCCTGCCTCTAGTTGATGGCGGTGGAGAAGCCACGCGGGACCCGAGGGTCGGACAGTCAGAGGCGGCCCTCAAGTTCAAGGGAGGCTGCCGGGGAGCACTGACTGCTGGCACCCAGCAGGCAGACCCGGGCGCACCAGGGGGTTTCCGGGGAGACGGAGACCGGAGGCCACCTGGACGGGGCGTGCGGTGAGCCTGCGGGTGTCCTTCCCTGCTCTGGGGCGCGCCGGACGCCACCGCAACCTCTGACTTGATGTTTTAGGCAAAGCCCCCATAGGAAACTCAAGCTTCTGCTGATGGAGGGCAGCCACCCCAGCTCCCAGCAACGCCCCACTGCCCCCTCCCCCACCGCCACCACGCACACACTTGGCCCTCCGTCCCCTTGGCGTGCGTGCCCCCTCTCTCTGCGTTTCTCTTGATACGTGCGCTGCTGGGTTTCCCACCTCTCCTCTTGGAAGCGGTAAACCACAGCCTGGGGAGGAGAGGAGCTGGGCCGAGCCCTCCTCCAGCACCGCTTTTCTGCTCACGGATCCTAGGTGGGGTGTGGGGAGGGCCCCGAGGGGCCGGCCAGCACCGTGGAGTCCCTCCGAGTCCTAGGCGGGGTCTCCCCACACAGGAAAGGCGCCTCTCCAGCTGAGACTGTGGAAACGCCAGAGGGACCAGACTGAGGGGGCTGGGGAGGGTTAATTGCGGACTCCCCACTTCTCAAGCAAACCTCACTTCACTTTCACCGCGGGAAGCCTTCCCGGAGTTTGCCTTACAGCCTGGGCTGGATCTCGGAGCGGCGCTGCAGCTGGGCTGGGCCCTGGCTGCTTCTAGGAAGAAGGCAGCTGGCTCTGCTCTGGGGAAGCTGGCCCTTTTCACAAAGACGGGGCCTTGAGAACTGAGTAAATTTCAAGGAGAGAGAGAGAGAGAGCAGCCTCCCCCTCCTCCCCAAATAGAATACAAGCATCTTGGCATTAAATGCCAAATGGGAAACCTGCAGAAACCATTTCCCCATTTCTCATTACTGCATATCCTTTATGGGAATGGAATTCTGTGGCTCTTAGAACTCAGGGAGGCTGTGTGGTATGCTAACTTCTGAAAGCTGCCTGATGAGCTAGAAAGAAACGGTTTCCTGCTTTCTTTCTACAATATGCAGAGAGCTGCAGTACTGTAGACACACCAGGCAGAAGCATCAGGGAGCATTTTTAAGGGCAAAGTGTTACCGATAGACCTGTGGAAGTGGATCCTGGCACAGGGCAGTTTGGGTTTATTAAGTTAAATTAAAAGTGAATTATTTTAAAATGACCTGCTTACCAGCTTTGCTCCTGCCACCAGATAACACCATCCTTTCAGTTCATTACAGGTGGAAATGACATTTTTAGGGTCCTCCATTATGTGCCTGAGCCACCTCCTGACATTCTTAGTTGACGACTTTTTCCCCCCTTATGTATCAGGATATTTCTGTTATGAGGTAGACTTAGATGAAAAAAAGCTGGTAAAAGTACTGGCCTCGCAATTAAATTGACTCTGGATACCAAAGTGAAACTAATCATCTGGTATTAATCAACTTATGTCTCTGCTTCTTGTTGAGGGAAAATAGAGTGACGATATGCTTTCCTTTTCATCTGAAAAGGACTGTAAAATGTTGAACGTTCCATAAAATCTCTCTCCTCTTATGAGACAATTTTTGCTCAATTAATCAAAGTGCATATTTTCACACTGGACATCGTTACCTCAGAAGGAAAATGTGCTGCAGCCACTCTAACAATGTTTTGAAACCACCCCTGCAGTAATGACCTCGCACATTCCATCAATCTTTAATAATATCATTGTCATTACTATTATTATCTGAAGTGTTAAATTGTGGCCAAAATCAATACTAGTGTACTTGGTTGAATATATTTTATCCCACTGTTGTTTTTAACATCTTTGTTAAGAGGCCAATTAATTTCCAACTCAGCTCCAGTGAAGTTTGTGGATAAGAGGGCTTCCTGACATATTTGTGGGTGTGTTTTGTTTTGTTTTTTTATTTCTCCTTTTAAAAGAAAGAGGAGGGAAGTAAATGACATATGAAATAAATAACTTGATGTTTTAAAGTGATTGAAATTATTTCTAAACTGATGACAGCAAAACTCTGGTGGCAAATCACTGTTGAACTAAATACTCATTTAATTTCTTTTCCTCCACTGAATATCAGGACTGGTTTTTTCATATTCTATCAGAATGTATGGCTAAGCCAGCCCCCCACAGTCACCGAATTAGAGGGATTTTTTGAAGTGGACTCTAAAGGCCTTGAGAACAAAACACCTTAATATATTTTTGTGATTGTTTTCTTCTAGATTTGTTGGTGTTAATGCATCTGACATCAACTACTCAGCAGGACGATACGACCCTTCAGTCAAGACCCCCTTCGATGTAGGTTTTGAAGGTGTGGGTGAGGTGGTCGCCTTGGGCCTCTCCGCCAGTGCCAGGCACACCGTTGGCCAAACTGTGGCTTACATGTCACCGGGCTCTTTTGCTGAGTACACAGTGGTGCCGGCCAGCATTGCCACTCCAGTGCCCTCTGCCACACCCGAGTACCTCACCCTGCTGGTAAGTGGTACCACCGCATACATCTGCCTGAAAGAGCTCGGCGGGCTGAAGGAAGGGAAGAAAGTGCTGGTGACGGCAGCTGCTGGGGGGACAGGCCAGTTTGCCGTGCAGCTTGCGAAGAAGGCCGGGTGCCACGTCATCGGAACCTGCTCTTCTGAGGAGAAGTCTGCTTTCCTGAAGTCTGTTGGCTGCGATCGTCCCATCAACTATAACACCGAGCACGTGGGTACCGTCCTGAAGCGAGAGTACCCCGGAGGCGTGGATGTGGTCTATGAATCCGTGGGGGGTGCCATGTTTGACTTGGCGATCGATGCCTTGGCCACCAAAGGGCGCCTGATAGTCATTGGGTTTATCTCTGGCTACCAAACTCCTACTGGCCTTTCGCCTGTGAACGCAGGAACTTTACCCGCCAAACTGCTGAGGAAATCCGCCAGCATCCAGGGCTTCTTTCTAAACCATTACCTTTCTGAGTACAGAGCATCCATGGACCACTTGGTCAAGATGTGTACCAGTGGAGACCTCGTGTGCCAGGTGGACCTGGGTGACCTGTCCACAGAGGGCAGGTTTACTGGCCTGGAGTCCGTGTTCCGGGCTGTCGATTACATGTACATGGGGAAAAACACGGGGAAGATTGTAGTTGAATTACCTCACCCTGTCAACAGCAAGCTGTAAAAACCGAACATCGGCATAAATCAGAAGGGAAAGGAAGTGGGTACTTGATGCTTCAGAATCACTCAAATCAATTTATTTTCAGTCATTAATGGAGATAATATTTCTTAAAATGAAAGTAAGTTGTTACAACCTAGGTTTCTCTTTTTCTTCCCTTTTTTTTCTTTTTTTACCCCTCTCTTGAAAAAAAAAAAAAAAGTGCTAATAAAACTTCCCTCCGTGGCTCAGAGGTAAAACCTTTACATTCAACCCTTTGGTCATGGACAGTCTCATTCCAGATTTTATTGTTCCTGGGAACTAAATTAATTCCTGATGGGAGAGCTGATCAAATCAGTATGTCTTCAGCTTGATGAGATTTTAAAATTGGTCTTAAAAATAGTTCACAAATTCTTTGCTTTGGGAGAGTTTGGTCTTGGGCTAATGAGTAGTTAATAAGTGAGAGATACCGCAAAAAATCGGCACTATTTCCGAGTGCACATTCTGAGGAAATGGCCCTTTGTAGCCTATAAATCACTAGCCAACTATCCAAACAGAAATTTGGAGGGATTCTTCCAAAACTTTGATTTTTGTTAGATTATTAGCAAAAATGATCAAGCGAATACAGACCCATCTAAAAGAAGTCAATTGTATTAGAGGCTTTTGTGCCTGCGAGGCACATGTGGAATGGAAAATTTCACTCCTCCCTTAAGCAAATCGGTGCTGAAAACATACACAGGCAAAAAGCAAGGTTGGGAGAGGGGACAACAGATTCGGGGGCTTTAAGAACTTAATACATGTCCAGGAAAGGTGTGTGTCCCATCCACAATGAGGGTCTGCCTAACAGAACATGGGCCACGCAGGGCAGGCCGCTCTGGGCACACCGCGGGAGGGTCCTCACAGACGCTGGGGCAGAACAGAACAGACTGCAGGGCGCACAGTCGGGACCAAGATCTACAGCAAGAACACACTGGGTCTGTGTCAGGCTGTCTGGCATGGAAGGTGTGTTTCACCTCTGATCATGGGAACAATAGCAGCCCCTGCTCCTAGGTTTCCGTTTGACTTCTCCCAGGTTCTGGTGGAGTGAGATGCCTCTTGTCCCGGGCATCTGATGTCACACATGAATGTAACGAGTCAAGTGCCTTCACTTCTGAATCATGCCTGGAGCTGATCCACCCGCCTGCTAACCTTCAGCTCACCAAAGGCGGCTGCAGCCTTCCTTGTGGACTAGGAAATCCCACGGTGCCTTCTCTGATCGAAGGCAGAGCCCGCCAGATGATTTCACAGCCCAGGGTTTCCGCATCTCTCACGTGCTAAATAAATAGGAAGACAATTAAAAGCCCAGAAAACTTGGTGACCATATTTAATTTTTCTTGCCTTCCGTCTGAGGAGGCAAGGGAATGCTACTGCCCCATAGCTGTTCGTATCTGTTTTACAAGATTTACTCATTTTCAGGTACCTAATGTCGCTGCTAGCATGCATGCACAACAATACAATTTATATGGTAAATGGGACCAAATCACGGCTTCACTGAATGTTATGGCTGCACTGAAGGGAAATGTCACGGTAAATAGCTGCCAAATTATGGATCATGCCGAAGTGTCACAACTGCACTAAAGACAAATGGCACTGGAGGCTATTGCCACCGCGGGCCTGTGAGTTATGAGGGAGGGTAGCGGCCTGATGCGAGGCTCTTTGTGTCCTCATTATAGCAGAGGGTTACCGGCGCAGGGGACACGGGAAGCCGGTCCAGTGCCGGGCTTGGTTATTAATCTGTCCCTTTCAGCCCTAGCGGCGGTGGCAGAACAGAGAGGGACTCAGCCTGGCTTTCAGATCCACAAACACACAAGGGAAGGGGACAAGTTTCACGAACCACCGGAAATGGCTGGTCACGGAAAACCGTGTCCATCAGACCATCTCATCAGAGCATAGTATTAAATTGAACGCCGTGTGTGTCTGCTGGCTGGGTTGTTCCTTATGCAGGTAGACGTGTGACGTGGGAAATCTAAGCGGAAATGCACTGCTCCCTTTGTGGAGACTTGAGGGGGGAGGACATCGCCAACTAAATTGCTTCTTCTAAACTGAAGTGTGTCCCGGTTTCTTTCATTTTAATGGGAGGGTAATAAAGATGAAAGACCAACATTTTTACTGATGGACCCCTTAAGCTACAGAATAGAAATTTATTGTGTTTTTGAAGGAATACACTAAATTCAGCTATGTAAAAAAAAAAAAGTATTTTTTTTCAAACACCCAGGTTTGAAATAAAATCTAATCTGAAACCCTCATGTTTTCTCTCTCCCCAAACTAAGGAACCACAGCACAGGCTGTTTGCATTTAATCTCAGGAAACAAGCATGAAAGATTCCGCCCATTCAGATAATGCCAAAAAGATGTTTAAACTTTTTTTTTTATTCTTCTGAAAAATGATTTGTAAATTGAGGGTCATAGTTCAGCACCAGTTTCATCTTCTGGTATTATCATTCAAGACTAGCCTCTAATGGGAGGTGAAGTGGTGCAAAGCTCTCAACACCTTTCTTCTGAACTGTATTACATATCACAAAAGTACATCCATAATTCAGGGCAATTGTCAGTCTTTGTTTTAGAGACAGGGCTGGGGCTGGGCGACCGCGCTGGATGAATTATTCCTTGGTTCTCAGGGTGGCCTCTTTGCACGTCAGCCTGGAGGTCTGGGGCTGGGCAGATGGAGGATTTGCCTCTGGTTAGTGCACAGAGAAGAGGGATTCTCATCCCTCACCATTCCCTCGATTTCACATTGGTTTAGCATGCAAACACTACAACAGTGTCATTTCAATCCCTTTGACGAAGACTTCTGCTGTTGACTGATTTCAGCATTTAAAAAAATCGGAATAGTTTACAAAACAACACCAGTTTTGCATGATCTGTTCTATAAATTGTTATTCTATGATTGCATCTGAGTGGGGTTTCTCAGGAGCAGGACCGAGTTCTGTAAGTGGAATTACGCTCAGTATTTATCTAATGAAAGTGCGGCGACAAGTAGCTGCTTGTGATTAAAAAGAAAATCCCGCGTTATGTACTTAAGGAA